GTACCGCGACGCGGACGGATCATCGGGGATTTCGACCCTCTGTTGCGGCTAAAAGCGGAATTCAAGCGTTTACATAAAATAACTCTCCCCCTCTCTTGACGCGCTTCGGTAGAAAAGGATAAATTGCAGCCCAATGGGTTTTGCGTGGTGGGTCGATATCGGCGCTTGTTTGGTGCCGGATTATCGTCTTCTATTTTGTAAGCAAAATATCTGTAATCTTATTTTCGAGTTCAGTTGTCTCCTATTTTTAGAAAAAAATATCTGAAATCTTGACTTCGATTTATTGACTGCTATTTTCAAAGAAAAAAATATCGAAAATCTTGTTCTGAGTTGTTTTATTGAGTCCTATTCTTAAAGAGAAATATCTGAAATCTTGTTTTCACGTCGGGTTTGCTCCAATTTCTTGAGGAAAATATCTTAAACCCCGTGCTCGCGTCGCGGAATAACAGATGCACCGGTAAATGCACCGATGCAGTGTTTGCTCCCGTTTCAGAAAGAACGAAAGGTCGGCCGACGACGATGCTAATGATTTGGATAAGTATCAGCTGGTAATCAGCTGTATATTGAGACCTCGAGTTTCGGTCAGGGTTGAATCTAATCGTTGTCGCTACCTTGGGGTAACTTCTCCGACTGAGAAGGAGAAATCGAAATTGTCTCGGAATAAACGCCGAATCGAGTCTAAATCGGGGATAAAATAATCCGCCACTCTGATACCTCCACTCTTTATTACAGATAAATTACCCTATAAGAGCAAACGCATAATATGCACTTTAAGTTGCTATTCAGGTCAAGTAAATCCACACTACGAGGGGAGATATGCACCCCATGGAGCAATTGACCACGATATTACCTCAATGACAACGTCACAGTCTCCTCGAAAAATAAATGACCCTAAAACAAATATCTTTTTTTTTTGCCATTTTCATAATTCCTTTATTTTTAGTCATTCGTCATTTCGGCATCAGTCGTTTTAATCCCCATCATAGAGGTATCTCATGATCCGTTATAGACACGAGCGACGTGCGTCGCTTTTGTTATATCACAACGTCCGTCGTAACGCACGTCGTTTTTGACGGTCGTATGGTCCCATCTTTATCGATTTATTAATTCCATAGCGGTTTTTTCTGATTTATCGATGCACCTCACGTTGGAGGCTGATCTATATCGATGATGGGCAGTGCCTGTGGACTATCGGCCACAATGGGCCCTGCTCGTAGAGCCGTAAAGGTGCTACCGGAAATCACCGTCGATTCGGGAAGTTGCGCGCACCTCCGGTAACGATCGAGACCAAAGAGCACGACAGCTCGTCGACCGGTACGACTTGACCGGCATACGTTTACTGCGATGCAGCGAGTGCACGAGTGCACTACTCCCGGGGATACCTAAGTAACGGATACGTATAAGTACAACTATAACGGATCCGAAAGCGAGAGCCCACGCGATGTGCAAATCAGACTCGAGGAGCAGGATCGAGCCTCGCAACTATTCATCCCGGTCTCCGACATTTCCTACCGGCTTAAACAATTCTCCTCCGGTGTAATCCCCGAGAAACCGCGATTATTACAATTAACTTCCATGACTATCGCCTCGCCGTCACCGGGGAGAAATATTAAAGCCCCTAGATACGAGCTGAATAAACATGTCAGGATTTTTATTGCTCAGAAGTTGCAGGAAATTCGAGAGCTGAGGATTTCTGATCTTGTCTCAATGGGATGAATTTACGGAAATTTTTCTTTACATTAAAGCCGCGCTTGAATTGCGGGGATAAATTGTTACACTTAAAGACTAAGATTGTCTGATGACCGAACTTTTTTTTTTTTTTAGTTCACCGGTTTGCAGGATTTTGATTTTTAAGGGGTTTGATTATTTTCACGAGCAGTGTATTTAACATCAGCACATGGGATACGTTTATCAGGGGATGAAATTGGCAAAATAATCACACTGAGGAGTGAAATAAAATTTTCCTCGGGGGAGAAGGAATAATCCTCCGACTCGCTCCAATATCCGGGTCATGATAGGTGCGGTGATTGCTTTTCATACCCCGAACTGGATTCTTGGTGTCCCTTAGGAGCGTTGAACTTTAACGTCAGCAGTAAAGCGACTCGTCTCGGCGCCGAGCCAAAGGATTCGAAATGTCTGAGAGAGGCGGCACCAAAGTTCGCATAACCAAAGAAGACCCATTTCTGGGACAAGAGTGAGGCGCGAGAAAGAAACGTCTCATTTCGCAGAAAGTACGACGGTCACATTTTTATCATCCAGCACACCCCTGCAGGGTAAAACTGAACCCGGTAAAATATCAATCGTAGTTTTTAAAGGACAATTGCACAAGCTACATGTTTTACTCGGGCAGGACTTTCTGCAACGGCAAGGACTTCCTCGTATTTCGGCGTTTCTGGTAAATAGGGTCGACCTTGAACGAGCGGGATACCGAAAAAAAGAGGCAATTATCTCGGCGAAAATTTCGAGATGAATTTTAGTGACCCTTAGTACTATAATTGAATTTGAAAGGGGCACTTTTTTTTTGTAGAAAACTCCCTTGCTGCCCAAGTAAACAATCATTCCATTTTTAAGAGGGATAATTGCACAGCCCGTTTCTTGGTAATGCAAGGTCTTTCGAGCCAGCAAGAAGTCTTCTTCGTTTTTCGTCGTTTCTGGCAAATTGGGTCGGCCTCGAACGAGAGCGAGACACCGAAAAAAGAGCCAATTTCCTCGGTGAAAATTTCGAGATGAATTTTAGTCATCTTCAGCGCTATAATTAAATATGAGAAGGCGGTTTTTATTCCGTAGAAAAACCGTTCGAAGGCCAAATAAATAATTCTTCACTGGAGATGTGAGGTGTTAAGACGATGTATATAATAATAAAAGAAAAGTAATTATTATTATGAAATATCGGGAGATCGCTCGTAATTTCCCCACTCGACAAATGGACCTGTTGGTATCGATATTCATGTATCGAGACATCGTGTGCATTTCCTTGACTTCAGGCCAGAAGAAATAAATGTTTCATTTTGCGGAGGAGCCATGCGACACACAGCTGCGGTACCTCGGAAAGCCTGTTCGTGGTTACAACGCGAAACGGCCACGGAATGGGAAACAATGGTCGCACGTACTTTCCTGTCTTGTATTTCTTATTGCCTTAAGAAAATGTATAACTCTCAATACCCTCCGCTTTTGTGCAGACTCTTGCTCGATCTGAGCACAGGGACCCCGAGACACGTTCCTTTGACGTGGAATTAGTTCTCCATATTACCAAAGCGATACTAAGAAACCGTTTCCTCCGTCTAGGCAAAAAAGGAAAAATACGGCGGAATTTTTACAAGAATTCTGGGAACTATTTTACTGACCAGTGATATAAAAAAATGCATAGCAAGACGCGCTGCATGGACGCATTCCAGCATGAATGCATCTCAAATAGCAGTACTTCCAAGTACTGGGTTGATAACTGGCTGTCCTTACGATGCAATGTTGACATGTACTGTTTTGTAATTTTTTTTATTATTTAATTATTCGATATCACTGGATGATATCAGTTACTTTTGCCGTTAGGACCACACCGCGTGAGTACTTGATAAGGAACATATTGGGATCTCCCATAAATTCACGGACGAATCCATAAAATTCAAGAGTGCATTTTTTGCGACAAAACGAACCATCAATGATTATTAATGTTGATCCGGCACTGTTGATGACTCCTTGCCACCTTCCCGGAAATTGTATTTATCAGCACTATCTGCAGAGAAAATTGGGTCTAAAAGAAAGTCCGCGATCTCGTGGAAAAATCCACAACGGTATTCGAACTCTCCTTTCAAGTTTACTTAACGACGTTTAAAAAATGCCGGTAATTAATATTAAAAAGCCACTCGAAATCTCCTTTCAAGTTAACCTAAATGGCGCTTAAGAAATTTCCCATAATCGATAGAAAAATGTAGAAAGATAAATTCTCTCGGAAGGTTCGATTCCGCGAGTCGATGGGTATTTATGGAGCCATCGATCTCTGCGATGACGTGTTCCGGCAGGGTCTCTTGGAAAATGTCGCAAAGCGTACTCGCTGGGAGAAAAAGCGGTTCCCAGGTGAGCTCATCTAACAGTAAGCGAGGATGCGGCATAACGCAGAAGCGTTTGCGGTGCGCGACACGAGCATTCGTCGCATTCTGCGATTCTGCCAACGTAGACGAGCCTGGAAACCGGAGAGAGGCTAACGAGATCCAGTTACTCTTGAATTTAATCCCGAACCCGGTTAACGTCAACGATACGTGCCGCGCACTAAGCAGAAATTTAACCTCGAAGGTCCATCGACTTGGGTCGTCCTTGATAGGATTTTCAGCATATCTAGCCCTGAGGTACCGCACGATCACCGACATGGCACCAGAAAAATGAAATACACGCAAAAAACCGAGTTAAATGAGCTAACACTTGATTAACCAAAGTATTCAACGTAGCAAATATCTTAAGATGATATGAAAGTGTCAATTGTTTATAAAACTTTTCTGCAAACCAACTGCACCAAGTTGTTTGAAATTTTGCCATGTGAGTATGGAGGCCCTAGGCCCTGGCACTCGCAAAATTGTATGTTTTATAAAAATTCCCAAATTCTGTCAACAAATATAAATAGAATGAAATTTCATGGGTGTCGGGACCTTCCCTAGGGCCTCAATATGCTTGTGACAACATTTCAAAAGATTCTGTATATCCAGTCCGAAAAAAAGCTGTATAAGCGACGCCTTTCATATCACCTTAAAGGGACCAAGACCCGAGGCCAAAAAACGAAATTACGTAACAGCATATCTAACTCTCACAGGACTCGTAGAACGAGCTGCATCCTCTATCGAAGTCAATAGGAATTAATCTATTGAATTCGCGCACGGAATCGGATTCCTCGAAAACGACCCGGTGGTTGTAACAGACTTTAATGAATGTCTAAATTAAAAACCCTGCACTCACTGTCGCGGAAAGGAAAAATAATTACTCGCGACCGGGGACACTGGGAAGCCCGACATTTCGATGGGTTTTGGCGAAGAGGCCATAACTGCATCTCGAATGGATGCAATTCCTAGCCTCGCCGGTGCACGAGCAAAAAGTTGGACAACGAGTCTAAACGAACGATCGTGGCTCATAACTATTTTGGAAAATCGACTCGAAATTGAAGTTTCAAATATAAACTGTCTCTATCTACGCTATTCCTATGAAATTATTTCCTCCGCAAGGGCTAATTTGAGGTGCACCTTGACGTGCATAAGCAGTGCTCATTTTCATGTCTAAATTTAAGAATATCAATCAGCGTTTATCTTATCACTTTAATTGACGGCTTGCTCGACTGTACGAGTATTATTCTCTACAATAATAAGTACTGTCATGACCCGATGTGCCTCAATTTCCTTTAGCTAGTTACTCGGATCATCTATGACTGATATCCTCGAATTTCAGATGACCTCGAGAGGAGCCATCGTCGTGCTGCTCTGCGTGCTGCTCAGCGCAGCAAGGGCTGATAACAGCGTGCACATACTCTCCAAGTACAGTCATCAGCTGATCACGTCGAGCACCCTGAACTGGATACCTCACACCCACTACGACTCGAACAAGGACTTCGTGATCGGTGCCTTCGTCAAGTACGAGCAAGCCGAAGGTAATGCCCCTGCGACATTAAGGTGATGCGAAAACTGCGTCTAAGGGTTCTCGTGTATGATACCTTCCTCCAAACTGCAGCAAATCGTTGGAATTTTTTCAAGACCTTCCTTAGGGTCTACATATTCACGTGATAATATTAAAAAAAAAAAAAACTAGGTACTTGCAATTTAAAGAAAAGTTACATTAACGATCGAGCTCTCGGACGCCACTTTCGTATCGCCTTAAGGCTCTCCAACCCTTACCGGTACATTTACGGTCACTGTCATGCAAGATGGACGCCTTTATGCTCGCGGATACTTTTAGCCGAGGTATCTATAGAGCTCTTTAAACCCTTCCCACAAAATTAATCAACAAATTAATTAAATCCAATTGCAGACGGCACGTACAACAATCAGGCGGATCGGGTGGAGTCGACCAAGGGGGTGGTTTTCGTGTGCCGAGCGCTGCACACAGGCATCTGGGTGACGGGGTGGAATATCAAAGGTGAAAAGCGCTGTGTGGTGTCCTTATTGGGGTACGTCAAGGCCTATGAGAGGTTCGAGCTCCTAGAGAACGTGGACAGCGCCGCCAGGGTCGGCTGGGTCGGATGGGACAAGTATCACCAGGTGCCCGTGGGAGCCGTGGCTACCGAAAAGATGTACGTCGCCCGACACGTCGTGCCCGACTCCGAGGGGGATGAATCTACTTCCAACTTCACCCACTACGTCGGCACCTTCAATCCCACCGACAGGCTCGGCACCATCACTTACGTCAAGGATGTGAGTATCGATCCTGGGGCTGCTCGAGTCGACGTCCATCCTTGAATCGAAAGTGTTTTCCTCGCATAAGTCTCGTGATCACATACGAGGACGCCGGAGTAATTCGAGTGTAAATTATGGATCCTAGTTGAATCTCTAGATGCTCTGTTCTTTTGATCGTCACCGGCAGAAATGTCGGCGAGTCGATAGTGTTTTCCTCACATAAGTCTTGCAATTGCAGATAAAAACGTCAGGATAACTCGAGTCGAAACTATCGATCCTAGTCGAACCTCTAGATACTCCATTCTGTTGATCGTTGCCGGCAGAAATTTCAGCGAGTTAAAGTGTTTACCTCATATAAATCTCAGGATGTCATATAAGGACCCCAGGATAATTCCAGTCGAAATTATCGATCTTAGTCGAGTCACGATATTCTCTATTTTTTAATCGTTTGCCGACAGAAATTGAATGGCTCGTATAAAATGGAATAACCATTCCATTCTAGGATGTCTCAAAGATCGATTCAGTTGAACCATTCCGAGGACTTGGAGGATCTGATGAGAGAAATGAACTCTGCGATTCTTAGCAAATTAAATCAGACTGGAATTTCTGTCGTTCGACGGAGGATTTAGAAGTTTAACTCGAATCAATTACTTCGACTCGTGTCGGTTCGATGAATCGCTCCCCGGGAATGCCCCATTTCTATCTCGGTAAACGTGACTCTGGAATGAATAAAGTCTTTCGAATCAGCTAAAAGGAAACAACGCGCGTTTATTTTGTTCTTTTCGCAACAATCAGGACGGTTAGGTCGGTTAAAACGGCGCGACTCGTTCCCCAGGCACTAAACGTTCAGCTCAGTTCCCTTAATCTCTTAAGCGTCGCGAGAATGAAGTAATGCCGCATTTTTCGGATTAACAAAGAGGAAGGTAGCCTTCCGGAAATTGTAAGAATTACGAGGCGACCTTGGGAAGGTTTTCATTTTCCGGATTGCGTGGGTTTGGGAATTGCGAACGTGAACATACGACATAGAATGCCGAAGGGATGGAATCTTAAGGGTGAAGATACACCAATAAGGTATCCGGTACTTATTGAATCTAAGTTGCCGTTCATAAACGGGGATATTGGGGTCCACGTGTCACGAGTACCTCACTCATGCGTGTCAAATTCAATTTTCCGTTCCTTAGCATATAATGGGTAATGGTCGTTAATCACGTGGCCGGTCGACGGGGCTTTACGCTGGGTAAATAATAATAAATTACGTTTAATGGATCCTAGGGTGACTGATTTACGCAGGAAAGCGTGGATCCTTGGTTAGAGGATGAATATATCCTTCCTTTTTCAGAACGACCGGGAAGAGTCCGCCGAGTCCGGTGAAGTTCTGGTGGAGACCGAGCCGACCCACTACGAGTTGACATCGGTTAAGTTGAATTTTGCGAAAAAGCGAATTTTCAAGAGAATCCCGTTGGTCCTCGGCGAGGCCGTCCTGAGCAACCCTAATGACAAGCCGGTCAAGGTGGCGGAGGCTTTCGGTTATGCATATAATTATACTTTGTACTGGGGACAAGGCCATGCGATATTGAAGGGTCTCAACACCTCGGTGACGCTCATCAACAAGACCAGGCTGCCCGATATCGTCTGGGGCATCGAAGAAAAGGAAAATCGCACAAGCGTGCACACGTGAGTATCCCCTGTACCCCCGAAGAATGGAGGAAAGTAAGACAGGTGATCTCTCTTTACAAAAAAAAGAAAATAGAAAAACTAGACAATCCGAAATTCGCCATTTTTTCCTCGTGATCGTCGCGAGGGGTGTAATTTGGAGATCCTGAAAACCCCTCCTTCCCTCTGACTGAACCGTCTCAACCTCTTTGTCCAATCAACAGGGTGGAGGTGATCCTGGAGCCAGGCACAGCAGTGAACGTGACCCTGAGGGCGAACTACACGGACATGGAGGTGCCGTACACCGGGAAAATAGTATCGCACTACGAGGACGGCACCGGGATGTCACGTCCGATAAGTGGGATCCGACGCGAGGAGACGATGTTCGACGTGCACCCAGAGATCGGGCCTATCTACTTCCTGCAGAACCAGAGCTTAGTGCCGACGACGGAGCCGCCAACGACGACCACAGAGCCGACGACGACGACCGTTATCGCGGCGCTCGGCGCCGTCCACGATATCTTCCACGGGCAGGAGGACGAGAAGCAGACCGTCGAGGAGATCGACGAGGAAACCCGTAATCCCGACGAGAACATGATCATACCGCCGAAGAAGTCCGACACAACGAACATGCAGAGCGACGACGGGGGCCCGCTCTCCCTTAAGGACAAGGTGGAGGGGCCCAGCTCCGCGGCAGGGGGTTTCGGCAGATGCGACTTCGTCCTCGGGAGCCTGCTGGTGATGGCCCTGACCAGGATCACGTGAAGAGGCCCCAACGTCTACTCGCGTCGACCGGGCACCCCGGGCTCGAGACTAAGGGAAGCAACGGCAATATAGTAACGAGATTCGATTTCTAGAGTACTAAATACCGGCGAAAGCGGGGCGGGGGGTAAGGAAGATGGCCGGAGCGGGGGAGAAGAAAAAGGACTGCGGGGAACTAGTTACCGCTATTAATTAATCCCGATTGATAGGGCTAATCCGTTCACTGGGGATCCTTCGATCGGACGAGTCTTTTTGGCTATGTTACCAGAGGCCGCGCGGGGTTGGGCTCTGTCGCTAACATATGCTTGCCTTTAAGACAGAACCTTGACATTTAATATATAATATAAATATAAATATATAAATATATAAATATATATATATATATACGTATAGTATATAGTGAGAGGAAAGAAAAATCTATTGACTATGAGCTAGTCTCAGGAGATATTGAGAGAGTACAAGCGACCGCGGCCACGAGGGTAGGCATCGTCCACGTTATCACCGAGGACTCGACCGATTAGGGGGTTGCATTAACCCTTTTGTCCCGGGAGCGGAAATTGTCCTTCGGCCGATCGGCTGCCTTCGTTAAGAGTCCTACGTTCACTCAGCCTGACCTCGGCTCGACTAGCTAGCCTCCGATCGCTTCGAGACTTCGTTCGGTGTCTACCGACCTTTACAACCCTTAACCTTGCGCGTCTTACGATTTGCTACACTGAGTAGGGGGCGTTCATTAAGGCCGACTTACATGGCCAGGAAGAGTCGGCGAGGGAGAGAAAGAGAGAGAGAGAGAGAGAGAGAGAGAGAGAAAGAAATGCGCTAAATGAAGCAGCTATGCTATATTTTTGAGATCGCAGTGTAATTTTAGAAGTTTATAAGGTTTATAAAGGGTAGCACATAAGGGAGTACCGGTAGAAAGGCGGAAGGGCTCGCCGGGGTGAGATCGGAGAATCGTGAAAAAAGAAATGGGAAAAAAAAATGAAAGAGAGGATTCGTCCTTAGAAAGCTGCGAGCCCGCGATCGACATTCCAGAGACACGCTCGATGGCCTCTGCTTTCCGCTGAATCAGCGAAATGCAGATATTAGGGGGAGGCTTCGATATGTATATAATTGCCCGGCTGAGGAGTCGCGATCTAGGCGTAATAAATTGTTACATCGTAATTATTTAATTCATCATTTTTCTACGGGAAGTAAGTTTGCGAGTACGGCGCGTCTAGTGACTTGTTTCGTATTGTCGGTTTAGTTTTATCGCTCGCGGCGCATCGGACGAGGACATGCTTTGTTACGTTCGTTTTGGGCTTGTTGATGGATCTTGTAAGTCTAGGATTAAGTAGGGGTATAATATGCGATGGTTTAAGGTGATATGAAAAGTGACTGCTAAGGAATCAATCGTTTTAGGTTTTAGGACATTTTTTCTGAAAACGGGGTGCTCCGAATTGTTTGAACAATTATCGCTCGAATAGGAGAGGCTTTAAGGAAGACCCTGACATCCATCAAACTTCATTTTCTATGAAAAATTAAAAAGTAAACTCGAATCTCTCAATTCACGTGAACAAATTTCAAACGATATGGTACATCCAGTTTGAAGAAAAGTTTCATAAACGATTGATTTATTAGGTGCGACTTTGATATCGCCTTAACTGCGAGTTGATAAAAGATGTTCAGGAGCGTCTGATGGAAACGAGGACGAAAGATGGGAAGTATTATTCCTTTTTTTGCGGTAGGGTTGAGAAACGATGAGCTGAGGTGGTAAGTGCGATGCTTCGTTCGCTTCTAGACGGTCATTCGATCGGTAAATGTACGCCCGTCAAAAAGACCCAAGTTGCGGAAGCTATAATCGGCGTTCGTCCACATAGCACACGTTGAAATAAAGGAAATTAAAGCTATCGTTAATTAAGTCCATGTATAACATTTCTGAGATGTAATGTTAAACTGCACATGCATTGTACTACAAGCTTTTCTATAACTCTGTAATATGAAGGCCATGAAAGAAGAAGAAATAAATGCCGCCGTGAGTACCAGCACGTGAATCTTAACATTGTTGGAAGTTGTCTTGGACAGTATTCGCGCTTTAAAGATTGATATTTATGGATTACCTACTGTACTGTACATTATCATGTAAATATAAACGTAATGTATATGTTGGACGTGTGACTGCACAGTTACCGAAGTCGTTAATTATCCCTTGGACCTTCCAAGCGTTGAAATTCGTTTCTTGGGTATCTCTAACATTAACTTGGATAGGTAGGAGAGCAAATATTGTGTGTGCAAGACTACATAATTTTGTCAACAATCTACCGTATACGTAATATTTAACGTACGTCCACAGAATGCGGAGTGGTCGATGAAATATATATTAGAGCAAATTCCTGAGTACCTCAATGGGTTATTCTCTTTGCTCCATTTTGAATTTGTATAATTAATCAAATATAGACTTACCGAGCATGCCATACTGTTGCGGGGTGAGCTTCGCGTCACCGTCTGGCCCAACTTGGGCAGAAGACATCATGGACGCTCTATCGCTCACATGACTGCGGGTGCTAGCTTCGCTCCGCCTTGCCCATGATACTTGCGACACAGCATCTGTGGCATGTAAAAAATACATACTTAAAAAGAATTGTTAAATATAAAATAATCAATATAGAAAGGTTAAACGGTATTAGAAATTTAAGATTTTTATTCCAAATCATACCAAGATTAGCTGCCTTAGCGTTAATGAACCTCTGTCTTCCATCTCTGATGTATCTTCGAGAAGGTGGGATAGGATAACGTCTTTTTCTTTTAAAGAACTGCGCCAGGCCACCGAGAAGGATCGTTCCACTGGTCAAGCATATAATAAGAATCTGCAACAACGAAATTCATTCGACGTGACAAGAATTCATTCACATTTGACATATTAGGTATATTTGGCAGCTTAATTATCAGGATTTAATTAAATTTTAAGTAAGATCATTAGAAATGTACTTCCACGAAAACTGCCTGGTTAAAACTCTTATGTAAAACATGATACATCATTGGGATAACCTCAAAACCTCGAGAATACCTTACCTTTTGAGTTCTACTTAAATTTATTGCAGGAAGGACAGTCGCACAGCGTAAATACAATTTACCGAAGTATTCCGGTGCATTAAAAGCGGGCATTGTCAGTATTCCTGTGTAAAATAATATTAAACAAAAAATTACACCCGGTACACACGCTCCAACCACGCACCATCTACCACCACCTACCTTACCATCGGTTAACCGGTTTTACTTGTTTACAATTAAACAGGAACTACGCGTTTGGGATGAAAGGGAGTCACGCATTCATTCCACGATCCGTTTCCCAGTACTGCCAAGACTTTTGCTCGAAAAATTCCTAGATGCAGGCAATTATTGACAGAGATAAGCAGAGATGAGTTGGGAGATTGCTCACGGGCAGGGTCGCGCGATC